CTTGCTTGGTTGATGCTTTACTGCTTGAGCCATGTCTCCAGATTGGATTTTTCCTGGTTGTTTTAGAGATAAGTTTTATAGACTTTTCTGCCTGGGCTGGCTGCAATCTGTGATCTTCTGATCTCAGCCTCCGGAGTAGCTTTTTTATAGAAGGAAGTTACTAGATGCCTGGTTTTATTTGTGTGTGTGTGAAAGAGAGCACCATGGTTTTAACTCAGGATTTCTCATACTTGCTCAGCTTTCGTGCTCATAGCTGGTGCTCTATCATTTGAGCCTCTCCTCTAAACTGGCATTTTGCTGGTTAAATTGGAGAAGGATCTCTTGACTTTTGCCTAGGCTATCTTTGATTTCATACTCCAAATTTCACACAGGCATGAGCCACTGGTACCAAACCTGAATATTTAAATTTACAAACTAATCACTTCCTGGAAACTGTTTGACCATGTTTTGAGTGTCCTTGAGTATGTGAATCTATTATGTGTAAAACTTATGGTGTATATGTCAAATATTTCCAATGAAAATTTAGTGTTTAAAATGAGACAAGGGTTAACACTAAATTTCAAATTAGTATGTAAATGTGAATGTAAAATTTCTCACTCCAAGTTTTAAAGACTACATAGCCGAATAACATTTTAAGTATATTGAATTAAATAAATTTTAATGTCACTGAAATTATTTTCACTGATTTCTTTTTGTAATGTCCATCCACTGGGAATTAAAAAATTACATATGTGGTTTATATTGTATTTCTTTTGGACAGTTCTGACTTACTTTCATTCTCCAACTGCCAGGGTCTCACAGTAGCCTCTTGGTTACCTACCGCCAATCTGTAATTTATTCACCACTGAGCAAGTTGATAATGTAATTGTCATGTTTAGGAGCTATATGTGGTTCTGTTGCTATTGAACATAATTCAGAGTTTTTGGTCTCATTCTATCTTTCTAGCCACAGGGTAGATGCTGTGGCCATGTAAGTCCTCAGTCCTGAACCTTCTAAATAACTGATTTTAAGTGATTCAGCTTTCTGATGAATGTTTCAAGGTGAAAGCATTGCTGATTATAACTGGGCTCAGTTTGCCAATTCCAGAATTCATTCCTCCTCTGCTTTAGATTTTTGCACAAGATTTCTCTTTGCTATATGTGTGTGTGTATGTGGTATTGGTACTGAGGCTTGAACTCAGGGCCTTGCACTCTCCCTAAGTTGTTGTTGTTGTTGTTTTTTCCTCAAGGCTAGTGCTCTACTATTGAGTCACAGCTCTACTTCTGACTTTTTGGTGGTTAATTGGAAGTAAGAGTCTCACAGACTTTTCTGCCCAGGATGGGTTTAAACCATGATCTTCACATCTCAGCTTCCTGAGTAGTTAGGATTTCAGGTGTGAGCCATTGACACCTGGTTTCTCTTGGCTTTGAAAACTGAGGTTATATATTTACATCTTCAATGAGGGTTTTTACTGACTCTCTACTTGTTCTTCTTCCTCGTTTACTTCTTTTTTTTTTGGGTCCAGTCGTGGGGCCTGAACTCTGGGCCTGGGCGCTGTCCCTCAGCTCTTCAGCTCAAGGCTAGGGCTCTACCACTTGAGCCACAGCACCACGTCCGGCTTTTTTCTTTTTGCTTATGTGGTGCTGAGGAATCAAACCCAAGGCCTCAGGCATGCAAGGCAAGCTCTCTACCACTGAGCCACCTTCCAGCCCTTCCTCATTTACTTCTATGATAGTTTTTATATACACATATGTGTGATGGTTTCAGCTGAATTTGAATTCATCTCTGTCCAATGAAGTAAACCTTTCTTAGGCCTGAAGATGTGGTACAGTGGTAGAATAATGAAGTGTATTTATTCCATACATACTTTTGAGTATATCCCACATGTCATGTTCTACATAGCAACTCTGTAGTTATTTGCAGATTCCTTTTTTCCATATGTTGGCATACCTGACACACATGAGGCCTTGGGTTTGATTCCTGGCACCACAAAGCAAAGAAGGATAACAATCAGAGCATCAGGTTCATCATCTGTAAAATAGAAATAACAATTGCAAATCCTCCTAGGATTGTGAAGTGCATAGAACAATGCCTGCCCCATAGAAATTTCTGTGCACAATACATAAGCACCAGTTAAATGTACAGTGGCACATCAGCATAGGCCTATAACCACAGCTACTCAAGAGGCAAAGATGGGCTGGGCCTCAGTAGCACACATCCATACTACTAGCTATTCAGGAAGCTGTGTTGTGGAGGATCAAGTTTTGAAGCAAGCCTAGGCAGAAAAGTCCATCAGACACTATTTCTAAAATAATGAGCAACAAGCTGGGCTTGAGGAGGTGGAGCTGAAGCTCAAATGGGAGAGTACCAGCTTTGAGCAGAAAAAGCCAAGAGACAGCACCCACACCCTGAGTTCAAGCCCCAATTCAGGCACAAATAAAGAAAACAACAACCAGGCTGGCTTGAGATGTGGCTTAGGATGTAGATAGCCAGCCAAGCAAGCCAAGGAAGTACCAGGCCCTCAGTTTAAATCCCATTACTGACAGATCAGTAAAGGCTAAGGCAGAAGAATTGCAAACTTAAAGACTAGACTCATCGAAAAAAAGAAAGAAAGAAAAACCTGCCCATCAAATACCCTTTATTTCCCACTTTTTCAAAATATGTAATTTAGAAGATTGTTAAATAAGGATCTTAAGGCAAAGAAGGAATTAGAGAAGAAGAATAAAATTAAACCAATGACAAAATTTCTCACACAAACCAGAAAATATTACATGGTCATGGAAGGTAGAGTCCATAGCTGGTTCAGAGTAAGTATAAATAAAATATGTAGCAGGGCACTGTTGGGCTGATGCCTGTAATCCTAGCTACTCAGGAGGCTGAGATCTAAGGATCATGGTTTGAAGACAACCTAGGCAGAAAAGTCCATATGATACTCTTATCTCCAATTAACCACTCAAAAACTGAAAGTGGCCCAGTGGCTCATAGTGGTAGAGCACTAGTCTTGAGCACAGAGAGGCTCAGGGACAGTGCCAAGGTTCTGAATTCAAACCCCACAACTGACAAAAATAAATAAACAAACAAACAAATAAATATTAAAAATAAATATGTTGAGACAAGTGCAAGCATAGCTTTATTTATTTATTTGTTTATTTATTGCCTGTTCTGGGGCTTGAAATCAGGGCCTGGGCACTATCCCTGAGCTTCTTTTTGCTC